GCAGGATTAAGAGGCACAAGGACACACGGCTAGACCCTCCCAATTTGGACAGTGCAGGGGACACGGTCTCCAGGACTCCTGCTCTAAGGCCACCCACACATGTGGGCCAGAGCCCCCGTCTGTCCCTGAAGAAACAAATGCAGGGCCGGACCAGCCTCGCCTCTGAACGGCCTTGGGGTCTGGGACAGCAAGTGCCAGGCTGCCTGCTGCTGGGGGTGGGGGAGACGCCTCCTGCTACTGGGTGTGGCTGTGCAAGGTCACCAGTTCCAAGCTGGGCAGACACCTGGGCCCGTGGTTCTGACAGCCCTGCGGCCCACATCCTCGAGCGCCGGCCACACCTAGTTTAGGCAGGTGACTCCTGTGCGGACCGCAGTCCTGTAACACCCTCCCCCTGGCCACAGCCCACGTGGTCCCTGGGGGTCAGTCATGCTTCCTCCTTGTGTGTGCGGTGTCTCCCCCCACCCACCCAGAAGAACCACTCTGCACTGGTTTTCTCTTTCCTTCTCTGCATCCTCGCCGCTCCAGCCCCGCCAGGCACATAGCCCTCTGGTCTCTAGGTCAGAGGCACTCAGCGAGGCTATGGCTTCATCAGAGGGGAAATCCTCACTCCAGCGCAGGCAGCCTGGGACGAGTGACCCTCTCGGACACAGACTCAGGGCCACCTGATCACGAGGCAGGACAGACCCTCCCAGGGCTCTGAGCCGCGAAGGCTCTATGAGGTAACCGCGTTTATGATATCCAGCGCCCCTGGCTGGGTCATCTTCTTCTGTTCCTACTGTGTTTGTGTGTTTCTTTAAGAGGTTTCAAATCCTTCTGGGGGACACAGTGGGTACAAATAATTACGTTATAAAACCCCATCAGCCTAGGACTGCCAAGGTCACAGGCTGGAGAGGACTTCTCCTCCCAAGCCAAAGCCACAATAACTTGTGCTCATCCTGGAAAAGTGAATACTTCCCAGAGCTCCAGAGACAGTAAAAGGGGGAGGGCCCTCCCCTCACTCCTGCAGCTGCCGGAACCTCGGCAGAAAGCCAGGGAGGGGGTTCTGGGGCTGGAGTCCGTGGCTGAAGGAGACGGACAGGAGGGAGCGGCCTTGTACTGTCTGACTCGCGAGGGCTGAGCAGGCGACAGGGACGCACTGGGTGGACAGGGGTCAGCGCAGCCAGCGACCTCTCACCATTCCGCGGGCCAGGAGCCAGCTGTCTAAGGGCTCCAGGTCAGAGTCCCCATCTTTACCTTTCTTCTGGGCCGAGGGCAGAAAAGTCCCAGAAAGAAAAGTCAGAGCCAGACCCGCACGAAAGAAGGTCCGAGCACATGGTGGGGACAGGAGGGCCTCCGTCAGAGCCTGTCCCTTGCCACGTGAGGAGCCGCAACCCAGTGTCCCCGCGCTGTCCCCTCCCCCCACCCGGACAAAAGAAGAGTTCAGTGACCAGGAGCCCCAGCAGGGTGACACGCACTCACGCCAACATTTCCGCACTCTGGGACATGTCAGCCGGGTCCCAGGAGGCCGGTCCCAGGAGGCCGGCCCCGGCTGCTACTCAGGATCGGGGCTCTCGGGGTCACCAGAGGGTCGACTTCAGAAAACCAGCTTTTACAAAATCACTTCTACTTTCTTCTAACTTACTTCTGCCTTTTTCCCCTCTTCTTCCTCCTTCTCAGTTACCTGTGTGTTCTTTTTCCAAACTTTCAACTTCAGTGCTGGATTTGGGGATACTGCCCTTTTTTAAATGATGTAGGTATTTAAAGGTAAGACTATGGATCTGGCGGTCCTGTGGAGATGTGGTTACACAACTTTTTCCCCTTTACTGTGTTCTTAGTCTCTCCCTTGGTCCAGTTTTCATTTCCAGGTCAGCGTGGTTCAGGATATGGAACATGATAACCTGAAGTCCAGGCCTGAGGACGCATGTGAGTCAGTAGACATGCACACAGACACACAGACACACATACAGCCCACACTCACCCCCGCTCTCCAGATCACCCCCTTGAGCAGCCTGCCTCCTGTCAGGTGGAGACACTGAAGACAGGCAGGTGGGCCAGGCCAGGCGCCCAAGGGTGAAGGCGGAAGTGGCCGCATTCCTGAGCGTGGAGCCCAGCCCTGTACGCAGGCAGCAGAGGTGCAGCAGGACACAGTGGGAATGGTGGGAGAAGACCCTGCGGGTGGTCGGGGGGAGGGGCCGGCCTGGCACCCTCTCAGTTGGAGGGAGCGCGTCCCCAGTAATGGGATCACATTACTGGACCAGACCAGGAACCCGGCCACTGCGCAGGTTTGGGGGGCCGGGTCTCGGGAGTTGTGCGGAGGGCTGGCTCTTCCGTGACCCCAAGTGGCCAGTGCAGACAAAGGGCCGCTTGGCCCTCACGCAGCCAGCTGGGCCACCGGGGCACTGGGGACCAGGAGTCCCTCCCCCAGGGCAAGCTTTCTCACAGGCACCAGACTGCAGCCCTGCTGCCCGCCCAGGCCAATTGGACAGGGGCCGTGGGAGGCCAAGGCCTGGCCTTCAGGACACCGACCCCTCTGGTGGACAGATGATCACTGCCCCTTTCTGTCTCGGGGAGGGGTGCAGGGGGCAGGCAGCTGTTGGGCCAACATACATTCACTCACTCGCTGCCACACACGTTTCTCAGGCAAAGAGGGAACCATCTCAGGAGAAGCATTAAGGCACAAACCCTCTTCCTTCGGTGAGATGCAACCTTACAGAACCGTGACTGCGTTTTGGCTCCAACAAGCACCATCCACCACCTCCAAGCACCTCCACCTTCAGCGTAGCTCTTTCCAGACATGGAGCTTCCCAGAGCGCCCTCCCCACCACCGCCTGTCCCTTCCACCCTCCGGCCCTGCTCCCCAAACCCACCCGGACCATCAGCTACTTCTAACAGGGCCCTACCTCGCCAGGCCCATGACAGAAGACCGGCAGGGGCCGGCTGGGACCACGCAGGATCCCATCTGCGTCAGGGCCGTCCCTGCCAGGCGCGGCCTGCCCAGGGTGCCGCAGCCTTTGGGGAGAAGCCCTGCACCCTGGGAACTCGGAGCCACCACAGGAGGAAGGGCAGGGGCTCCCGGTCGCACCTCCTGGGGAAGCAGCCCTGCCTGCGGCCGCTCACCCAGTACCCCTAGCCTGACAGCCTCTGGGCCCAGTTTCTCCTGGGTGTCACAGGAAAGTGGACACGGGCGTGTGGGGGTTGGCGAGGACTGGATGAGCTAACACAGCTCTCATCCTGGTCTGCCCTCCCTGCACTCCAGCTTCTGCCTGACTATCCAGCCAGCTTCCCCTCACCCTGCAGGACTCCAGGCACAAAAACAGATTAAAGACCTACCACTTCGGAGCTCTGTTTCCGACTGTCTAGTGCAGAGGCAAGTCCTCCGACAGCCTGGGGGTCCTCGTAGGTGACCCTGGAGATGAAACAGCACCAGCAGGAAGGTCACAGGGGACGGGCAATGACTTGCAGTCACTTCCCGTCTACAGCCCCTTCCTCCTTCCTCACAAGCACTCAGCACAATGCTGCCCATGGCCTCAGCGTTTCGGCCGTAGCTGAAGCCAGAGGCCAGGGTTTGAGCACAGGCTCAGCCAGCCCTTCCTCCAGGGTCGGGACTCTGCACCTCACTGTGCCTCTTCTAAGTAACAGCACGGGCATCTCTACGGTGCAACGGCAGGACGGCAGAAGTGCCCTGACACTGCTTAGAAGGAGGGGCTGGACAGAGGAAAGGCGGTATTAATCCTTGTTTTAGAAGCACAGCCTGAGCAACATCTGACAAGGAAGCTGGTCTCAGGGTCTGGGGTCGGGTCTGCTGTCTTCTGCTCCCCGACGTCCTCCGCTGGATCACTCTGAAAGCAGCTTTTGCTGAAGGGCGCATGAGGCCCTGGGTTTCTGGTCCACCGCTGAGTCCTGAGCACGGGGCTCAGAGACCTCCATGTGTCAAGACATTGGGTCCCTGGGGAGGTGGGGAACAGTGTCCCTCACCTGCCTTTAGGCTGGACAGAAAGCTGAAAGTGGGTTCTAGAGAGCTGCAGGGGCTGTGGATTCTGGATTCGACTACCCCACATCCACATGGCTCACGGTGCTCAGAGCTGCTGTCGGGGAAGCCCTGCCTGCACCCCTGGGGGCCCTGCCTGCCGGCAGACGAGGTCACGAGGCAGCAGAGAGAACAGCAGAGCCCCCTCCACTCCTGTGACTGGCGGAGGAGCCGTGACACATGCCCCACAGTGGAGTGCTGGCCCCCATTCCACGTCGCGCCTACCGACAAGTCCCAACAGCCAGAGTTTAGAGTTCTCAGAGGTCCTGGACCCGGCGAACAAAAGACCTCTCGTGCTAGTGTGGGGCCAGACGGGGGTCAATCACCCCCCAGGGTCTCCCGAGAGCCTTCGACAGGGTCCCCACGTACGTCTTGTGTTGCTCAGCCAAGGAGCTCCCTCTCGTCTGGGCAAACATGTCAAAGCTGTCCCGGGGGTTGCACTGCTGCAGGGAACTGAGGGTGCCGCTGACGCTCTCTGTCCCCAGGTCTGTGACAAGAGAACAAGGGGGGGTGACAGGAACGAATGTGGATCTGATGTGGTGAAGGGCCACCCAGGTGGGGTGAAGTTCTGGGCGGAGGGGGCAGAAGAGAGAGGGGAGAGCCAAGGACCCTCAAGCCGCTCAGGAACCAGCGGGGGCGAGAAGGCGGGCCCACAGGCTCCGGCCTCCCCAGGGCACTCCGGGTGGCTGGTCACAGCTGAGGACCTGGTCGTTTATTTGACAAGGATTCCACAGGCGCCTGTGCGTTCAGAGCCCAACCCTGCCTGGACCAGAGTGAATCTGATGTGGCTCTCGGCCTCCAGGGTACCCAGGGTCAGGGAACAGACGGAGACAAGAACTTAGCTGGAGGCACTGGAGAGGCTGGAAGCTGCCACAGGACCAGGGGCCTGGGCTGCGGGTGAGGGGTAAGGGGTGCAGGGCCAGGGAGCCCAGGGTGTGATGTGAACGGGGCTCACAGAGAGAGAGCCACAGAGGATGAGGCCTCAAACACCAGGTAAAGGAGCTGATGGAAAAACACTTGACTTTTTAAAGAGAGGAGGCAGCAGAATTCAATGTGAATTTTAAGAATTAAACCTGGTGGCCACGTGCTGGGTGGGCTGAGAGCAGGGAAACCTATGGCTACAGACATGAGACACCGAGAAGCCAGAGTTACAGTAACTGACAGGGCACTAAATAAAAGCTCAATTCAACTGAAATGAAGTGAAAGTAGAAATACAGATATTAAGAAAAAAGAAAACAGAAAAGCAGGGTAGAGGACAGATTTGGAGAGGGTCACGCTCATTAATTATTTCAAAACCGCAGCTTTATTTTTATAGATTGGCACCATCCCGCAAGTGTAAGACCTCAAGTCGCACCCACACCTTGAAGGCAATGAACTGTGGAAAAGCGGCGTCTCTGTTTCAGGCTCCAGAGGATGCAGCACTTTTGCTGATGCTGCTTCGAGGACGCAAACCCCTTCCTGCTTCTGCACGCAGCTGACACCATCAGGCAGCCAGAGCGTGTTGCCCAAGCCCTGATGTGGCCTCGGCACCCTTCCTGGACCCTTGTGTCTAGCACCCAATGAACTGAAATCTATTAGCCACCCTTGGCCTGACTGACACTGAGAAGGAAATCACTTCAACCACAGGGAATATTCCAGATACAACACAGCCGCCACCTTTCTTTAAGAAGCAAGCAGCTTCCCGTTCCTTGGGCCCGCCCCAACCCTGGCTTTCCAACACAGATTTAAACTTTAAGTTCGGGGGAAGAAGTTTTGAACTGAAGCTGGGCCTGGAAACAAGCTTCCCCACGGACCCCCTGCAGGGCTCTCTCAGGCCTTGCACAGAGAGAAGGGCTAGAGACACTCACCCAAGCCCGCCAGCTGGGAGGAGAGGGAAGACGGGGGCGCCGTGCTCCCTACGGTGGGGCTCACCACGGCTGGAGACCCCGGCCCCAGGTCTATGAGGTTGTCCTCTGTCACTTCACTCAGCACCTGTCAGGGCATGTGGGCCTGGTGTGAGCAAGCCCAGCCCACAGGCCACCCCCGCACCCTAGTGAGGTGGGGCTGCCTCAGTCACCAGGACAGGGAGGTCCCGGGAGCCGTCACCCTCCCGCCAGGGACGTGCCACCAGCGCCTCATGGGACCCCATCACCAGAGCCTGCTCTTCCATCACCCAAATATTTTTCACCCCAGTTAGAGAAACCGGAGGTGAGGCCAAACCAAGGCAGGTGTCCTGGCCCCGGAGGCGAGAGTCCTGAAGGAATACTCACCCCATTGCTGGCATTCTGTGCGGATCGGCCCGACCTGTACCGCTCGAACCTGACGGGGAAGGGAGGGCAGAGTGAGGGGGGAGGGAAGCCCTGGCCCCAGGAGCTTCTGGAGACCGAGGGCAGGTGGCCAGCAGAGACCCAGCTCCAGGAAAGGAGACCAACCAGGCCCACCTCCTTCGCTGTGCCTGCCACCCCATGGGGATCCCTGGAGCAGGTGTCAGCTGGCACATCCAGGCGGCCAGCAGAAGCTCCCCCCGCCGCCCCTCGCAGCCCGGGCCGTGTGCTCCTCTGACCTGGAGGGGAGGCTGAGGTCCCTCTGAGGGCCAGGCAGGCACCGCAGCCCCTGGGGTTCTCCAGCTGGGGTTCTGCTGAGACCCCTGCTCAACATCAGTCTGCACCCTCGCTGGGGTCAGCGCCTGCTGAGGGGGACCCCGGGGGGACACCTGGGTGATGCCTGCAGGGCTGTGCTTTGTCCTCAGTGTCTAAAGGAGCAAGTGCCCAGAGGCCCCCTGAGACTTTCCAAGGCTGAAGCACCTCCCCAGCCCTCTGTGACGGACAAGTGGTCTCAACAGAGGCCCCCTGGCCCCGGCTCTGCTTGAACTGTGACACTGGGGCCGAAAATGCCCGCGCCAGAAGGGCCGTGTGGCTCTAGCAGGTGAAAGGCAGCCCATTCAGGGCAGAGGGACTGGACCGCCCCGCAAGACCACAGGTGCTGGTGTCTGCTCCTGTTCCCCCACGGGCTGGGACGGCTAAATCCTTACGCCGAGGTCTCTTCATCCATCAGACCGACACCGGCCACCCACCCCAACCGCCTCAGTCGAAGCTGAGAAAAGCCCAGAGTTGTGGCAGCCTCCGCCAAGTCACCCTCCAAGGTCCCAGAGGCGAGCATCTGGAATGCCAGGACAGCAGCCGTCAGCCGACAGCCCTGAGAGGGGGTGTCCGGGCCTGGCCCACGGGAGAAGGGTGGCCTGGTGGGGCGCTTTCAGGGGCGGCCGCCCATCAGAGCGACCGGCAGAACCTGCCTGCTGTCAACCCGCCCCCGGGAACACTGCCCGGGCACCACATGGGGAAGGGAAAGGTATATGCATGTTTGCTGCCTCGAACCCAAAAAGGATTTGGCTGCAGGAGAGCGAGAGTGACTGTGTTCCCGCAGCAGCAGCAGCACCCTGACATCTGGCCCGCACCCCGCCTGCCTCTGAACATCCAGAGAAGCGAGAGATCTTGCTCTCTTAAAGAGGGGGTAAGAGCAAATCTTCTTCCCTCGGTGGAGACTTTC